CCATTCCATGCAAAAGACAATACCTCTTGAAACCCAAATGATTTTTCTTCTACTTTGCTTACAAACACTTTGACTATGTTATCACAATATTGAAAGTCGGTTCTAACTTATTTTGAAAAGCAGAGAAAACTCTTATGACCTGAAAAAGGATATGCATAAACAACGAACATGATAATCTATTACCTGAAGAAAAACTCTTCATCTCAGTAAAGTCACATTTAACATAAGAAAAGCGTCCAAAAACATGACAAAAACCTGAAAATATAAATGCAAGACAACAGTGGCAAAAAAAATTCTACAGTTTGAACCTCTCCACAATGGCCACCTTAGAGACAGAAGAAAGTGGCTGTTGTGGCCATTACGGGGATCTAGAAGTGTAATACAATCTAACCTCTCCTTACAGACACCTCTATAATACGGACACCTCTCTATCACGGTCAGTTCGCTTGGTCCCAGAAAAGCCAAAATTCATACATTCCTTACCTCTATAATAAGGACATCTCTGTAAAGCGGACACTTGGTTCTGTCCCCTTGGTACCGTATTAAAGAGGTTTGACTGTATGACCAAATTTTTTTAGGGAGAACAACATGTTTATTGTGCTATGTTTATGCTTACTGTATCCCCTTATGATACATGTAATCCAGTCATATGTAATATATGGAAGTGAAATACACAAAAAAATAAAAATGTTAACGCGGCTAAACGAGCAAGGTTCGCAACATTTGCTATAAGTATCAAAGACCCTTTATGCTTACTGCAGCAGTATTAATGGAACATAATCAAAATACGATTGCCACGATTGATCATTAAGGTGCCATATGAATCAACTTTCATGACCTTTCTTGACTTTTTCATCAGTCTCTGAAAAAAGTGGCCATTGTTGAGAGGTAATTTAGGCAGTTGGAGATGCGATTTAGTGGCCACTGCCATCGTAGAGAGGTCTAAACAAGAGTCAATGTATGGACTGTCCCAAAGGACAAAAAAAGTGGCCACTGTAGAGAGGTGGTCATTGTGAAGAGGTAGCTGTTAGTGGAGGTTTAACTGTATTAAGGAGCAAGTCAGGGAACAAAGACAAAACACTGATGTCTGACAAATAAAACCTAATAAGAGGCATGGGAACTCAGTGCAATAATTAGCAGTCATTGAATGAGGCTGAGTATCATCTGAAGAACTACGGAGATCAAGGAGGGTGTTATCCCCCGTGATGATGCTACTTGGGGAAATGACATGTTTTCTCCAATAAAAATGATGGGAGACATGCTCATTCCTTGCACCTTGTGATACAAATAATGGAAGAAAACATGCCTGGTGACAGAAGACAAAAAAACATGCTATGAAAAAACAAAAAAAGGCAGCATACTTCCTATCTCAATTGCTAAATGAGTGCCATTTGTCCTTGCAGAGTTCCTCAGCTGTGGCATATCATGTGATAAAGGATTTACCAATTCAACAGGGCTTGCATGCCACTCATCAAACTCTTCTCCTTCATCATCAAGACGAAGATCTACCAAGTAACAGTGTCCTTGTTCTGTACCAACTGCTGCTATCCCAAAAAACAGCTTCAGCTGCTGACTGCAAGAATAAAGCACTTTGAGATTACTTTATTACTCATCTTTATACACAGTACCGTTCAAAAGTAAGTGACACTCGATTCTCGATCCTCGCGAGAATCGAGAATCGAGTCAAGAATCGATTGTTGCGTCTCGATTCTCGATTCCTGCGAGACTCATCAAACCAGAACAGCCTTTGTTTAGTTTTGAGTAATTCGCTCTCTACTGTCGATACTCAACTGCTGCGAGAATCTACAAGTAACAACCTTTGTTCAAGTTTTGTGCAATCTTCTAACTTCTCTCAAGTCAGAAAAATCTTTGTACTCTATAAAATAACAAACTCTACTCAGCGTTTGATTCTTGTGAGAAATTCCTGAACTATGCAAATAGCAGTTGACAACTCTCTCGGGAACAACTCTTCAGGAAATTTGCTTTCGTTCACACGGCTCGGGTGATACTTTGCGTCGAAACCTTTAAATTGTTCAAACGGCATTTTGCATCATTTAAACAGCAAAAATTGCCAGTTCACTAGTTGAACTTGAAAAGCAATCCATGACTTTTTGTCTTTAACATCCAAAATAAAAGGAAGCTTGTGTAAATAAATGTCTAATACGCGACGGTGTTGAAACAAAGTCTTGTTGCTTTTGTTCTTCGGCTTGTCTTTCGAATTCTACTTGCCGATTTTTTTTTGATTGCCTGTTTGTGAATGCCCATCGGCATTATCGCGGTTCAGAATGTCTGCTCATCGGTGTCCGAAGTCAGTGAGTTTTTTTCACTAGAAACTTAACTTGTAATTAATTCTGCTTGTAATTTGACCTGCAATTGTACATCATCAATCTAACTTAGATACTGTACAATATAAGTATTGTGTAAGTCTTAGCTTCTAACTTGTTGGAAAGATTTCTATACAGCCCCATATCGTTTAGCTAGATGAACAATATCTTTAATGACAGCCCCATACATTTACATATTTTGACTCTATTAATTGCGGGTGACTAGAGGAGCCTGTAACCTTAATCTCTAGGTTGTCATTTCATATGTGTGGCACATATCTATCTACAATCCCGGACAAAACTACTTGAGAAAGTTTTCCCCATCATTTCCACTTTCCTACGCAACAAAACTATTTCCAAAACGATGCCTTTGCGGAAAGAAAACCCCTTCCCCCAATTCAATGTTGCTTCCCACAAATGCCCAGGGATCAGGCTTTCTTTTGAATACACAACAACATTGCTTTCAGGGGAAGGGGGAGAGGGAAGAACCGGTACACCTACGATGTTTAGAAAAATGCTGTCCAAGTATACAATTTTCTCAACAGTTTTGTCCAAGATTGTAGCTTTCACTTGGAATTCCACTAAGAATGAATGGAATACATAGAATGCAATCTGGTGATGCAAGTTTGGACCCTTCATCACTGGTAATCTGATTGAGTGCACTTTGACCCTCTATCATATGAAACTAAGGAAAAGTACAGCATTACAGCAAGAGCATTTTAACCTTCGATCGATTTTGACCACATTCCATAACCTTTGGTTATTACTGGAAATGCTGTGTAAACTACAGTCAAAGCTCTCCTCTTGACCACTCTGGTAAGCAACCTGCTCTGGTTACGACCACCTTTATTAAACCCCACTTTAAACTGTCACTTAAACTTTGTAATGCAAAGCTCTCATAAGTGACCACTCTCGTAAGTGACAACAACCACTTTTGGGATTTATACCCAACTGGACCACTCAGAGTCTTATTCATATTAATAATCATTTAAATGAAACTACACACTGTGATAATGGTTGGTAGACAAAGATCTTGTACAGTGCAGTAACGTATTTGTAAAAGTTGAAGGTCATTTCCTTTTACTGTAGCCACATGACAACGACCACTCACGGGACCTGACGTCAACATGAAACTCTCGTATGTGACCACCCTCTACTGTTTTACTAAGCGATCGCTTACAAGAGCTCATTCTCATAAGGAACCAGCTCTAGTTATGGCCACTTTTTCAAATTTCCGAGGTGGTTGCTTACGAGAGCTTTGACTGCATTTGTTAATACTATGCAACTGCTGCATGCACAATCGAATCACTGTACAGGATTGTACTGAAATCTTACAAATATTATATTCTTATATTAAACCTACGAAAATAAGAGGCGAAGTACTCAGTAATTCAGCTTCAGTAGAAGTTTTGTGCAGAAAACATATTTTGTATACAAACCTCAGGACATGAGGGGATGCTTGTGCTCCACCGGACCCTGTCACCCCTTCCACTACAGTGACAGGGTAAGGAATCTCAATAGCTTTGATCACACGCGAAACAAACGGATCGAAAATACAGACAACTCCTCCACTACCACTTGATAAGCCCTTAAGACCAACCAATAATTTTGGACCATCTTCCATATAAAGTTTCTCCACGGACGAAATACAGACAGAGCGCTGTTGTTGTATACCGCAACCAAACCTCCAAGAAGCTTGTCGCGAGCCCGTCGTTGTATTTATGACTTCCAAGCTGGCTCCACGTGCAAGCCAAGCTAATTTTCCGCCTCTTAAAACACCTCCTGAGATATAACTCTCTGTGTCGTCAGCAACATCGGGTCTTTCCAAACATTCTAAAGATACACTGGAATAAGACCTCAACGGCATTACCGAATTTGGAGAACATACACGCTTCATGATTTTTGCAGCTGCATATGTTCTTTCTTTAAATGTTTCTTCTCTAGCCAAAAATCTGTTTTCCTTTCCCTAGTATTTCCTTTCGCGCCATGCAGGATACGCCAGATGCGCCATCTTGTTCACCATCGCGCATTTCTAGAGCATGCTCCTTTTGAGTGCTTGCGGGCGTGGGTCATGTAAACCTACACAAGACGTCCCATGCGTTATTGTCCAAAAAAATTTTTTCCTCGAGTTTTAAAGGGGTCCGTTCACCATCGCCTGAAGGTAAAGTGGTTTGATTTGTCGATTTTTAGTAAAAGAAGTTTCATTTTAACGGAAGGCCCACCGTTGGCTTAGCTATAAAATCACCGGACTGGAACTGCAAACTGGGGAACCATGGAGACACAGTAATGTATCAAGAATTAAGAGATTTTAGAAATGCAATCATCTACTAACCTTTATTTCAGTGATGGATGTAGTAAGATATCATTTCACGATGTCAACTACTCAATAAGGTTTTGTTCCAAATTCCAAATTAGTTAATATGCTTACATAGTCATTAAGGCCATCCTCTTTTTTTTCTCCATTTAGTGTCATCCAACCGACCCAAATTTTTGGCATTTTCCAAAAAAAAAAAGTAACGACATAGTTGAACCATTTTTCACTTGGAATAATTATTTTAATATGAAAAATGAGCATAGTAACAGCATAAAGTAAAACAGGAACAAAAACAGGAACATTTTTTACAGTATATTGTGTATTTTGTTCATCCAAATATGTGAATGTTTACTTTTAACGTCATCCTGGGTTACTAGGGCCTCCTATTCCGAGACCTCTTTTGACTTTTTTTTCAGCTTTTTTTTTGCAATCCGACTGACCAACCCAATATCAGAAAACGCATTCGACACTAAACGAATGGGGATGGCCTAATTGACTGCTGAATAAATATTAATAGTTATCTCACAATGTAAACTCTAACTGTGACGTGCTTTCAATATGTCTTAATCTCTCTTTTACCGAGATAATACTGTCCCTTAACTGCTCTGGTGATTCAATAAAAGGCAATTCTTTGCAGAATACCACAAGCTTTCGGATAGCTTCACTCAAACAAAAGCTGTTCTCCTTTTGCAACATAAGGATTGTAGAACTTCTGAAAATAAATGGAATTTGGATTTCACAGATATTAACTAAATCTTGCCTCACTGGAACTGGTGCACAAGTGCCAACATCAGTGAGGCATGACGACTGACAATCCTCTTTAGTTCCTATCCAACAATCATCATCAGATGAACACTGTTTCTGCTCAAACATACTAGTCAAAAGATTAACAGGGTAAGTCATATCTAAATCAAGCACTTTCACTATGGAGTCATTCGTGACGCCAAAATTTCCCAAATGCAGATCGCAAGACTGTAGCATTCCATAAGGATTACTTGATACATTTAAGACAGCATCTAATAATGAATGAATAAACTCAAACTTCTCATTTTCACTTGGGGCATATGTCTGAAAAAAGGAATGAAATACAATGTACTTTGTAAGAGTCAATGCATCACCTAAAAATGTACCAACATATGGAATAGAGAAGGCAACATTAACTATCTTTGGAGCCAGATAACTTCTAAAAGTCTCCTCCAGTGGTTCAAAAATATCAGGTAATGGAGAAAAATCTTGGAAAGCCCATTTCTCCCCAAATACTTGTGAAGCAATAATAGGTACCTTTTCCAGCAGGTACAAACCACCACAAAATCCATAGAAATCTACAGTGTTCTTGCTTTCATTTAAGACCATCAACATTGTGGGTTCTATTTGATGCAGTAATGAGATAAATGTCCTTGCCTCTGTGGCTGTTATTATTTTATCCTTGTTGCTATCACTCAGAAGCATTAAGTAAGATGTCAGGTTGCCACATGCTTGACAGTCACCAAACAAAGTTTCCACCTGGTAAGAAACCTCATGGTGATATGACCTCAAAACATCACCATCAGTTAATTTCTGGATTTCCTTCCATGTGTTGAACCAATCCATGTTCATTTTAAGAATAACTTGCAGCCCTTTCCAATCTCCTTCGTAAACCATTTTTTCGGGAATCATTGAGAGGCATTTTCCAACATGAATACTGAAATGCTGACAGAGATCAGAGCAGAGAGGCCCGGACACTAGACCTTCCTCAAAAGAGGAACACTGAAAGAGCAACAAGGTTATAAGTTTAAAATACAACAATTAACTTTCATTTTACGGTCAACAAAATCATTAGATTACTCTATTAATAGTATTTTATTGATAATGATTATTAATAATTGCATCCATAACAGACTGTGGGCAGTAGCTGAATGAAACACCTCACAAGTGGCAGTACATAGGAGAACAAACGTTCTACAGCTAAACTGAGTGTTTGAGTAGAATCCTGATTAATGCGTTGATTATAACATCTCAGAAGCTGTTATCCAGCCTTATTCCATAACAATAATTGCTAAATAATCAGCTAGTTACATGAGATATGTACAACTTATGATTAAACTGATTTATTTATTGCGGAATGACTGATTTGTTCAGACACCATGTCCAGACAAATTAAAAATCAAGAACTATCACTCTGAGATCTTGCATGCATGTGATCTAACACTGCTGCAGTTAATGCATACCTGATTGAAAAAACCATTGTCACTTAAAAAAGTATAAACCATGAATGCTGAGACTTCAAGGATTTATGGCATGGGTATACATTCATTAGCAAGGCAAATTCAAAGTTCTTTCAACAAAAGTTTACATTGCCACGAGCTGCTCATACAGATGCAAATCCCCAGATTACTTTGTTTAAGGCATGCCGTGGTCTTTTTATGTCTTCCAAAAATGTTTTTGGCTCCTATCTTACGATTTTTAAGTGTGCATTAGCGATATGGCTACGCTCTTTAACTATAGAGACCTCTGATATACCCTGCACAGGTGAAAATGTGAGCATACCATTGCAAAAAGCTTCAATAATGTAAAACTTTTCTGGAAAGAACTTTAAATTTGCAAAGTTAATAAAATTCTACCCATAAATCTATTAGGTCCCATCTTTCATGGTTTATACTTTTCAAGCGAAAGCATTTGTTCAATCAGGTGTTTATGGTAACAATCAGTTTCTCTGCATCAAGTCCCATGCTACCAAAAATAGGCATAATATCTTCTTGACTCGGCCGACCAAATTTTTGTTCTGTCTGATAGAAATGGAGACAAACTGGATATATTCTACTCCCCTACACAGCTGCTTTTTATGCAGTCATGCAATGCTTCTCCCTTCAAGCAGCCATTTGTGGGGAGGATCATTGAGTGATGGCACAAAGGGCTGCATAGAAGGCCAGACATATGTTAGCAGTTCGTTGAAGTATCGCAGTGACTACTTAGTATCTAGAAGAAGGGGCAGGGTGAAATACATGAAACAAAGGCTCTTTTTCGTCCTCTTAAGGCACTTCTCTAGTAAAGCAAAACGAATATTCTTTTCATTTTTAACAATGCTTCATACATGTCTGGCAAATAAGTATCCGTGCTGTGGTAAGACTTCCGAACGTACAGCCCCATACGTTTCTTACGGATACATTTTCAACTCTGTTGAGATAAATTGTCTGTATGAAATAGTATGAGATTGGTGCATGCATTTTAATTGTATGGTGTTGAACAGAAATCCCCCAAGTTCAAGAAGAAACTGGTAAAGTATCAAACTTACCAGAGAACTGATGACGGAGGGCATGTTACACTTCAAACGACTGTCAAGCACATGCATCGAAATAAAGACAAAAGCTACAGCTGTCAAAACCATTATTTTCCAGCCCAGCATTGTTTAACAAAAGTTGAACTTCAGTTTGTAAACGCTTGCTATCCTAGCTAGACAGACATGGTGTAAAATAGCCTGTGAACAGGCTCTCTGTTTGGGCAAAAAAAATGGCAAGGGAAGGGAAGGGAAAGGTCCCCGCTCGACCTAGTTCCTCGCTCTACCGAAGGCCTGTTCACAGGCTACAATGTAGGTGTAAGAATGGTTAATGATTACTGAAATCAGCTGTGCAGCTGACCTGGCAGCTGACAAAATGATGGTAAATGGGCTGTACGACGAGCAGAAAAGGACCAGGCGTTAATCTCGAACTTCCCATCATATTTCATATGTAAATTAATCATAAGACAGTTCGAAAGGAGCGCTCACCCGTGTGAAATGTTTTTCAACACTCGAAGAGAAATTTCGTGTCTCTGCACGGCCATGTAATATCCTCCATTTATTCCTCGAGTAAATACAGGACTGAAGCTCAAAGTGATCTCAAGATATCTGGAAGTAATTCCGGTCTCATTTCGTGAAATAGCCGAAACAAGCCGAAAAGTCACGAACTAACGCGCCCAATCTTGTCCCGATACTGGTACATAATTTCACGGCAAATTACAGTGGCGCAATCGGCTAATCCCTCAACTTAGAGTCTCCTCTGTTCTGAAGGGTCGCACAGGTGAGTCGGTTCAAGCCCCGGGCAAGCCAAAATAGTAATTCTTTGTCACTCGAATAAGTTAAAGAGTCGAAGTGATCTCGAGATATCTCGAACTAATTCGGCTTTCACTTCATCAAATACCCGAAAAAACCGAAAACCTACGGACTTCGCGTGCCCAATCTTGCCTAAAAAGGTCAACTTTGATACATTCCTGAGCGTCCCGAATCCCTTACTTCGCGCTCCGCCGAAGTAACAATGAAAACCAGGGCGGATATGAAAACATTAGACAAATTTTATTTTGCCATGAATAAGACACAAGAGGAAGGGCCCAGAAGGATCTAACATGGTCAACATGAGAAAAGTAGGGTAACTTTTAATTCCAAGTTACTGTTGTGGTTTTGTTGAAGATTTAATTAAGAAAACTAACTAAGTTTACAGCTTTAACCTGAAATAAAAAAGGCTGACTGTATTAATAAATGCTACATTCAGGGACTTAAATCGGTTAACAATTGCAGGAACATAAAAAAAATTATACATCTTATGAATTAAGAAAAATTCTAGAGGACTTCTTATTATTAAAATTTTATCGATAAACTGATAGAATACCTCCAAAACTCTGCTTTCCATATGAAAATCCTGTATACCGTATTTCTTTTATTTGGCTTATTGTCTACTCAAAAGAATATGCTTTATGACTGAAATTGTATGAAACCGCTCCGGGAGAAAGATGTTTCGTGCCCCAGGCAAGTTGCAAATAATGGGGAATAATGGTGACTGGACAGCGGTGACAGATAGCAATATTTGTGGCGTGAAACCGCCTTTCCTATTTCTTTACAACAATCAGAAAGTTTTTCTTTTGGTGAGTCAGCCATTTTGCCGCCATTAGCATTAGCCTCCTTTCATGTTTAAATCTTTGGCTCTTGATAGCTATCTTGACCCCGTCTTTTGCTGATTTTTTGAGCCACTGCTTTTTCTTGACGACGAGGTCCCTGAATTGACAAAAAAATGAACAGTGAGGGTAATAAACGATGCAAATTACATTTGAGCTGCAGATAAACAAAAATGAATAAAAACCAGTAAAGATGTGATCCTCGCTGTTATCAGGGTCGGCTAGAAATTTTGGTATATGGTAAACATATTTTTATTTTTATGCGGTATTTTTCACCCGACATAACTAATTATTCTAAATTCCACGTTTTCTCGACAGTTGGTTTAGAATGGAGTGTATGGTAATCCTTTATTTCAGCATCATTTTCAACTCCTTCCGACCGAAACTTCTGAAGTTGACAACAACGTGGAAGCCACACTAACAAAACGTACCTGCAGGCCTGCTTTCTTTTGAGGTGGGTCTTGGGGGAGATGCTGATCTTCCAAGTGGGGGTGGGGTACCAGTTCTTGGTCTTGGATCAGGAGTGCGAGGGATTTTGGGCCTTGACACAAAAGCCTTTTCAACATCGCTCCTAAAACGAAGACATTATCATGACGCCTTACAGCAAATAACACTGATATGAAATATACACAAGATACCGATATACAGGGTATTTCAAAAGTTCGTTCCAATTGTAAATTGTATTTTGCGCCAAGCATTTAATGCTTCTTTAGGCGAATGTAAACTGTTTCAGGTAAGAAATTTATCTAAATAACCGTTCAAAGCAATTTTAAACTAAAATTTGAAGAAATTATATATTTTTTTAATTTTTGCCCCAACTGTACACGCACGCGAGTTTTTTCCCGCCATACTTTTCCTGCCCACTTTGTAGGTTTTCTATTTTGGTATTTTTAACGTTTTCTTTTATTTTCTCTACTCCTTCATGAAAATGAAGGCCTGCACTGTTTGTGCTAGAGCTCAGGCATCTATTTTTATGGTCTTCTGGCAATTCAGTCCAAAAAAAATTGCCAAATTGTTGAAGAAGTCTGAACGATGACCGAACAAGTGGTCAAAAGTAAAGACCTTAGAAGATAAGCCAAGGAGTGGATGGCCGTTTTTTCACAAACTGTGTGAGAAATATTATCGAAAAAGCTGTAAGTATATGCGTAATAATTCCACAAAACAGAAAAGTAAAAAAAGTTTCAACTTCACATGATCGATCAAAGTTTCGAGCACAACGGTATGGGGATAAGTTACTAAAAAAAGTTGGAAAGCCTTGAAGAGAAAAAGGCGGTGCACACTTCATGCAAGCATGGTGTCAGAAGGATTTGCCAACTTTATACCAAAGGAGGACCGGCCGGCAAACTCACGTGATTTGACCCCCTAGAGACCATCTGGATTATCGTAGACGAGACAACATACAAAGATCCAGCCCCCAAAACACTGGACGAGCTAAGACAGTGACAACGCTTCGCCTGGAAGAATGTGACTTTGGACACGCTTTGGGAGCTCGTACATTCTATACCTCACTGCTTAGAAAATGTCAGAAACACACAAGAAGACATTCTGTTTACTAATATTTTGGTTATTCAATGTTAAATGAATAATGAATAACATACTAAGTTTTACAAAAGGTTTTGTTAACAGTTAGTGAAATTTAAGCGAATAAAAAATGGGAACGAACTTTTGAAACACCCAGTATAGTGCAAATTACAGGTAATGGCAGAAGAACTTACGGATGCAGCCGGGAGGCCTGGCCCGACCCAGTGACCTCGGTTCCCTTTACATGAAAAGACAAATTAGCAGTAACAAATGTTAAATCATTATATTTCACCAGGCGGTCATGAGAGTAATGCTTGCATTACCGAACTCGTCCAATTAGAATTGTCAAACATGTTAGAGATATTTTCGGCTGTGCTGGTGCTTCAGCGGCCGCCTCAGAAGGACAACAGAAATTAGTGATAACGTTGTCGCCTACTCTCAGACGGAATGTTATACAACTACTTACTCCTGTACTGAAACTAACTAAACAAAATACAGACATCATTGACAAACACTAGCCATTATTAAGCAGTAGTAACTCACTTTCGCTGCACTTCGAGGTTTTTCTGAAAGGAAAAGAGATATCAGGTTATGGTCGACATAATAAAAAATTTCATTTCGGAGAAATAGGCCACAATGGGCCTACGGAGTGCAGCATGGCTAAAAGCCGCAAACACATGCCATCAGAGATACACAAAAGATCTAATATAACTGACGACGCAGTTGATGGTCGAGGGCGTAAACATTTTTGCAAAGGGTCATTCATTACAACCATAGTCGCAACCAAAAACGGCGTGGGCATTCAAATAACTTTTTGTCCTACTAAGCTAAAATTCCTTATTTGTTTGTTTCTGACTGGTTGAGAAAAGGTGCTTAATCGCTTTTTTCTACAGTGATAATAATAATAATAATAATAATAATTTCAGTTGCGATGACCTGAATTAGGCCACTTATTTTCAACGTGCACTTTTTAAATACATATATGCACGAAACATTTTTACAAGTTGTTCCCATCTCTATTTTTAAATAAACATTGCAAGTCATTGAAATAACATTAATTCAGTGTGGTGCACAAGTTATACGGTGAAAAGGAACGAATCTTTAAATAAATTAAGCTTCACCGTCTGCTCCTGCTGCTGCTGCTGCATTTGATGTCGGTTCAGGCGCCCTCCTTGATTTAGATGACGTTGAAGGTCGCACCTGAAACCAATCAAAACACTGAGCTATCATTATCATCCACTGCTGTCCGACATACCAATGACCTGGATATGGGATGAAGCACCATGTCAAGTATTTCATAAGTCTGCAAAAATCCTTGAAGAACATCAAAGCTAAATTTAATGCAATGACTACGCAAAGCTTCTTCAATTATCAATGAATTAAGGAAACGCCAATATATCTTTACAGCCGTTCAGTTTATGGAGTCACCCAGTGATTTTGGTATAGACATAAGGGAAGTCCCCAGTTTTCAGCCAGTCGACTCAAGGCTCGGTTGGACTGGAGAGAGCGAACGAGCCAAGAGGGGAATTAAAGTTTGCTGGGCAATTTAGAAGCGACTGATGCACAGTCCGACCAACACACACCTGCTGTTCAGGCCGTGACGACTCCATTGTTGAAGTTGTTGGTCTGGAAACATGTTCTGATAATAAAATAAAACAATGGACTGTTAGTTATTTAGTTATCAGTTTCGTCCATGTTGACTGACATTATACATCATATTGAATATTGGACTGGCTATTGTAATTATCATAATACTCGCCTTGAAATGATTCTAATGTTCTTATTCCTGGAGTAGTTGGCCTAGTTAAGGGATGATCACGACCACCTGAAAACTAGAAAGGAACAAAAGATTTTTATTTTTATTGCAGTTAGTAGTAAATTTGCCTAAAATAGCGCAAAGCCAACAATTTTTTTAATGTTACACGCAAAACCAAAGCAATGTGTTTTTAAAAATGGACTATTTTATTATTGCCCAATTTTAGTTCTGAACACTTGACTTGTTAGTTTTCATAATGTAGCAGATGAAAATAGAAACAGCGGCGGTACATCGCTTCGTTCGTGTACTAGGCAGGAGACATATATTCTCTGCGAGCGACGGTTCTTGATCTACATAACAAGGCCACAGTTCTTAAAAGCTTATCTTCAACTCGACGATACATTGACTCGTCGCAAAAACTGTCTCGCAGCCGTAAGCGAGAACAACGGCTGTCCTGAAAGGAGCCTTCCTTACAAGCCTTGGCAATGAATGGACTATATCGTGACTGTTTTTCGTCTACTTGCAACACCTAGCTCGAAGCCCAGCTTTATGTAGCTCGATAATTTCTTCTACTTGAGAAACTAATTTTCTTTTAAGGTAACCTTTCGTTCATTCCTCATCATTAAAAGCAAGAAACCTTGTAACTTGCAAAGTTAACTTTGTAACGAAAAAACTCATATATTTTGCCATTTATTCAGTGTTCAAAAGAGAAATGACCTGTAAGGTACCTTTTTCTTGCTCTTCAGCTCATCAGATTGTTTGTTGTTCTGTTTAAAAAGAGTGAAAAATCTAAGAGCGAAAATTGTTTAATATACAGATAACTTTCTGATTTCTTGTTGTTTTGTGTCGCAAAACATGATGGATAATTTGTTACACATCCAGTTCTTATTTCGTCTTAAGTCCGTCTAACATATAGATGTCTTTTATCAGTTGATTAAAGACCATGCCACGGTCAAGGTTTTGATAACGGACACTCGCGAAAGTGGGGGACAGTGGTACTTACAGCCGCCTTAACTTGTAAAAACACCGTTTGAAGTCTTAGGCAACCATTTCCACAATCTGAACCAGTACCCTGTTGCGAACAGTTTGTTAGCTTCCCAAGGGTATCCCGGGTTTGAGGGAACTTTGACCGCTATACTTTACCATCTAACATCAAATACTGTTAAGATTAGTTTATGTAACATTTACTGAGGTAAACACGTTTTTGAGCGTACAACAGGCAAAGAAATAAATGAATTACAGTACCATTGAATAATGAGTAATAAGTAACTCTTCTCCACACAGTTCTCCTTCAGTCGACAAAAGAATCTCTTGTTTATCTAACTCTGCATCAATAGCGTCGCCCTCCTGTATGAAACACAATTTAACAACTTTACTTAATAAAACAATCTTTCATTAAAATAAATGTACCCCACGTTCCAGAATTTTGTTTTATCAACTGAGTCAGTAGGTAATAGAAGTAAACTAACCACCGTGGAGGGATAGAGGCTGACGATCTGCGCGTAGCTAACCCTTTGTAAGAGCGAACGTGACTGGAAGGGCCACAGGCTACTCGAATTTCCTGAAGTATCTTAAGTATCACACGATACATACATACATATACTCTACTTATGCTCGAAATTTACAGAGTAGCTGTAGAGCTAATGTATTCGAGAAAATAAGTTAAAATTAAAATAAAATATGCTATATTACAATTCCAATATTATTTATAAACCATATACAACATTATGCATGCAAAGGGAAATATAACTTGTAAATCTACTGCGGAAAAGCTTCCTATCCGAGGATCTCCTGCATGAATTCTAGAAAATTTAATGTTTTGTAAGTGTCTGGGAGAGAGTTCCATATTTTGCTAGCTAAGTATGAAAAAGAGTACAGACCGTAAGTCGTTGATCATCCTATAAACGATCATCCTATAAACTCACATCATCATCATCTTCCTCATCTTCATCATCAGATTCTGGTGTATTTGTGGCTGATGGATCATCTGCAAAAATACCAAACAGTTTTGATAGAGATTAATTATCTCGGGCTACCTTAGACAATGAGTATTAAGCACCTACCATGTTCTTCGCAACAACATTTAGCCTGTTCTAGGCTCTAAGTTAAAAAAAAAAAAAACATTCCAGAACCTTTTCTGTTTCTCGCGCTTGCTTTTCCACAAAATGACCCGGAGCCTGGAACCCACAGGGCACTGCAACATCTGGCAGGGATCATATCAGTATCAGAAAAACAGACCACTGCAGTAACCGCTACCCGCACGGAAACAGTACGTTATAAAGGTTACAATTAAAGCACTTGAGTAATGGATTATAATGTTCTAACCAGAGTTAAGCTGTTTGATGATAAATTGGATCTGTCTGGTCATATCCGGATTGTCATCTTTAAGGAAACACTCAAGGATTTCTTCCATTCCCTGTAAGAAGGAATTGAACAGTGGCAACAATCACTTCAAGATGGTCCCTGAAACGTACATCTCCATTTATGGGAAAAACTACAATGAGCCACATTTCAGAGCTGTTTTCAATGAGGGAATTCAATGTGCAATTATCAAAAAGCGTAACTTAAAGCTCGTAAAAAATGCTTTTTGGAGATACAGAAGTCCATTTACGATCTTCATTGACAGAATTAAATGAATATTAGGACATCCTCCTGTGAATCAGTGACTTGGCATTCTCAGAGATTATTTTTATGACCAAGATCCGCTGTCAATAAAAGTAACACATTGTAAGGGGAACTAAAACCTGTTACTTCTGCAAATTTGAGGAAAACTTAAACGCCTATGATTCAGGGTCAGAAAAGAACTTTTAGAACTTAATTATTTTTAATCAGGCACCTGTTTGACCATGCCCTTTAAGGGTTAACTCATTAGCAAAGCAACAGCAGCAGCTTACCAAGGCTCTTGCCTCCTCCTTCACAGCTGGTAATGCCAGAATACTATACAAAGCCCCATTCACATACGGACGAATCTGTTGTAGTATAAATGATAATGACTTTTGCAATCAAGTTAAAAATAGTTAAGAGTAATTCATAGGGTTACAGAAAGATGGCAGACAGAAAATGTGTCAACACTGACCTGCATTACCAAAATAAACCAGGTTTTATAGCTATTGAATTAAACTTACCTCTTGATTCTCATGTCCTAAAAGATCACTTAGCACACGAAGGATGTGAGCAGCATCATTAATACATCTCCTCTTTCCTAAGAAAATGCATTAGTTTGAATATTACTACATACTTTGCACATTTTATATTATCATCCTGAGAAAATGCCAGGTTTATAAACAGGGTGGGCAGTGGATGGAACTGAGTTCATGGCCCGCCTCCAAATACAGTGCCCATCACAACTCTCTCTCTCTCTCAGAAGCAATTCAAAGCTGTATTTTGAAACTACAACCTAATTAGTAGTATATGGTGATTCTAACGCAAGAACCAGTCCATTTGATTCGTTAACTGGAAGTGAACCTGGTAGCTTTTGAGTGCTTTTAAAAATACACAACAGTGACACTTATTTGAAATAATATCAACTAAAAAGAATCATTGGTCTTCCTACTCTGACTAAACTAAGCAACATTATTTTAGAATTATTAAAAATTTACCAGCAGAACGTAAGCAGAGGTTCATGAGCAATGCAACAGAGTATTCCAGAGAGTAATCTGACAAGTTGTCATGATCTGTCAACAGCTGCGACAACCACTGAATCAAATCTTCTTCAATCATGATTGACTGCATTTGGCGTCTAAAAAAGGAACATTTGTTTGTTATTAATAACAAAGTCATACCCTGTGTGCAGATATCATCCCTTTTAAGCAATTAAGATGGGAGAGTCATCTTCACACAGACTTCAGAGCCATTGTAAACCACTGTAAGTATGACAGTCATTATAAAACATATTATTTCATCAGTCCTGTGTATCCACTGGGACTGCTGCTACTTTGGTGAGTCACCTCTCAACTTGAGTTATGCAGTGGGTTACAAGGTGAGTAACAGATTCTTTAAAAATATATAACTTGTAGTGTGGAACTATCTTGAACAGCTTTCTTATCTAAACAAATTTGAAGGAGCTCTGAAATACTGTGAAAATTTGATCCCAATATTTCCCCATGCCAGCATCCTTCCTGAAGGAAGCTAGACGTATTTCATATCTTCACTTTCATTGCCATGAGGTCTTTTAGCTCATCCTTAATGTACATGTTAAGTAGTCAATTTAAGCTCACCTAAGACTAAGTTTTTGCAAGGTTCCCAAGATATTTTCACTAGTAAGAGATGTTTTAGGTTCCTTTTTTAGTGCTGTCAGCAAGGCATATACAAGGGATGGGTTTTGTGCTAGGTAAGAGCGACCTATAAGGAAAAGAAATGCAGGAATTATCACATGAATTTCAACAAGGTGAAGAAAGAGAACCAATCATTGATTTATGAATGCGTAAACTGCAACTTACAGATCATCAAGCCATGATGCACATAATACCAATACTAAAAAAAAACCTGTAGTCTCCAACACCTGAACCAAAACAACATTGACTGGAGGTTGTTATCCCCCAGGCCAATTAAATAACAGCTTCCTCAATCTACACAAATTATAATCATTCATATTTACCAAATCAGTGAAATAAAGAACAATATTTGCACGTTTTGATTGGTTTCTGTAACGTGGAATATCCTTTGTTATTCACTGTTTTGCTAATGGAGCCAAAATGGCGTCTTGTTTTGATACATATTTTTTGGAAGATAACATTTGTGCAATACATGAAGCAGTTGTAAAAAACAAATACCAAGAAAACGACAAACTTTAATTTGGCTTGTAAGTGTTCACTGGTAGGTAGAAAATTATTTTCATGCTGAATTTGCAACAAAATCGTAAAATGCACTGGACAAAATCCTCCAAATGTTTGTAAACTGTCAACAAAGTTCCTACTAAGTGATGTTTTTAATTTACAAAAAGTTCCTTTTTCAGTTTTGTCCAACTGATTTGGTAAATTTGCGTCTTGGTATATATCCACCACTATTCATCTCCCCTTCGGGGGATAGTTGTATATTACCTTTGATATTATACTCACCCTCACAATTTCAATAATTATTAATATTGCTAACAATAAAATTAGTCATTAGATAAGTGCTGAATCACCTGCTGAAAGTGATGCAAGGGCATTAAACAACCTTGCCAAATACTGTCTGGACATCTCACTTGGGGAAGTCAAAATATCTAATATTCCATTCTATAAAAAAAACAACATGCAAACAAACAAACAAATGAACAATAGTTACTGGCATTGACAATCCCTAGAGGAACTGCTGCAGATGGCTGTTTAGAAGATCTACTTCCACTATCACATCATGATCACAAGGATCACACTCAATCTGAGAATACTGTTATGCAAGCATTACTGGCAGTTGTTTCTTTTAATAATTGCAGTTGTAGCAGTTGATGGTTAAATATATTGCACATGACACTTGTGCTAAAAATAGAAGGGGTACACACACATATACACAAAGAATACACAGACTGAGCAAATTACAACAGGCATATATATATATATACTCAATACATCTCACCCTCACATGGCCAGCAACAGAGCAGCCAAGAATGTCATGGACAACATATGTATTAACAATGCTGTCTCGTTGTTCATTAGTAATGGCTTGGGTAAGATTCTGTCAAACAATAAGGAGAAGGAAAGAATTAATTAAGAATCAATTAGAAATAAAAATAAATCTTGTTCGTTCTGTTCAATAATTTCACACCATACCCATCTTAAGGCTTGTAGAAGAAATGCTCTCTTTCTCTCAGGTAAAGTAAGCAGATCTGTTTTTATCTTGTCATAGTCAAGAGAGGGCTTGTACGGAATATCAACACTTTCTGCAAGTCTGAATGTTAAATGAAAAACGTGAAAAATCTGCTGAATTACTGTTAGTGGCAATATTGATGGTTTCAAGACTTTGAGGAATAACAGTAATTTTGCAATAAGTACAAGAAGTGTAATAATTTTCTGACTCAGCGGCAAATGTTATTAAGGCAGTGTCTAAAGTACATACTGCAAGGTAAAAATTGGTTTAAGTCCTGGTGACAGAACCAGGGATAAAAAGTTTGTGAGCAAACATTTGCTAGGAGAGGTTCATAAAAAAGTTGGAACCTGATTTTCATTTTAACTATTGTAAAAATTAATGCTGGGTCATAAAAACATTAGGTTAACATATGCATCCTATTGGTTGGGCTGGTGATGACATACATGTAGAGCTTAGAGACAAGTTAAACAGCACAAGGCTATGACTTTATATGGTATTTTAGATCTCATGGCTTGAGCTATTGTCATTTATAAACAGCAGAATAATACCCAACCTGGGTAGCTCATCATATGCCAAAGATGCTCTCAGTATTGAACTTGCCTTGAAAAAAGGAACAAATTCTTAATATTAGATCAAAAACTACACAAGGTGGTAATTAATTTACTGTCCTAAGTTACCAGTGACAAACATTATTGTGTAATGATAGTCTCCCTTTTATATTTTTGTTATATATTGTTCCATCCATCCTTTCTTTAGGCATATTACTTTTCTTTCAAGAGCAGTTATTCTGGGCTTTCAGAAATGGCTAAAAATGAAGATACATTACATTAATTAGTTACAAAATTATTTATTTATAATTGCAGCTCACCGTCCCTGGTTTGCTTATGTCAACTGATTCTCCATTTGAGGGAGCAAACAGTCTAACACAAATGTTTTGAAGATACTCAGGTGTCACCTGGCCAAAACAAAATAACAACAAAATTGGTCACTACTGACTTTGTTCACCGAATTAGTAAGATACATTACTGTGTGTCAGTGACAGTGTAAGATCTTGGTGCTTAATATGTAATGCATTTGGCGATGTGGCAGGCTTATATCTACATTGTGGGAGATTATTAGAAAAATTGAATGTTGCTTTGAAAGGAGCTGATACTAAATCATGCTTCATTTCATTTTAAGAAAGAATTCCAAATTAGAACTTTTAATTAACCGTTACACCAGATACAACAAAAATATGCATATTTAGCCACATAAAGGTGGACCCAATGGACTTATTTTAAGGCTAAACTGAGGCCTGCATGGCCAAGAAAAACATTTCAAGGCCAGCTAGTTCATCTTTTATCTTAGGGTCTGGAACAGCAGCCTCACCCTACCCCACTTACTTAGAGATTTGAATCCACTCCTCACTGATTTAACTTTAAACTTGACAAAACTAGTCACAAAACTGTTGGTTACCATTTTACCACGGACTGTATCTTCCAGTGAGTCCACTAGTTCAGCAGCAATACCTATGAGTTTATGATAATCTGCCTACAAAGGGAAATACAACAGGTAGGAACTAGAAGTGAAATAGAATTATATCCCTCTATAAATATACTGTAAGTCATATAGGACTTAATTATACAAGCATTGTTTCATTCACACCTTTCTCATCTCCAGAAGTGTTGTTTCCTGCACTGACCTGTCTCTCCAAAAAGGTTTAATTTCCATATCAAAGAATTCAAAGATAAATTTCTCCTTTATTACAATAATTATAGCACTTCCCTTCTTCCCTTCTAAGTACTGTATCATAGCAATAGCTGATGGTTAAGAAACCGTACTAAGGATATAAGGTAAGCTAAGTCAAGGGGGAGGGGTGGCTTAGGCCAGTCAGTTATCTTCTCTATTAAAGAAGGATGCAGTACCTGTATCTTAGAATATCTCTTCTGATACTGTGATGATCGTTGCTCTCTTCTGGTGAGTTGAGTTTGCAATTTCTTTAGCTGTTCACTGTATAGTTTCCTTTCTCTCTCTATTTCTGTTACATTTTCTCTGTACAAAGTAAACAGCTTCGGCTTTTCTTGGGATTTAAGGGTAGAAGCTAGAAAATCTTGTACTTTGTTCTTGAGATCAAAACTCCACGAGCTCTGTACATAGCAAGTTGAACATGAATTAAAATAACAGAACTTAAAACACACAAAACTAGATCCTTGCAAGCATTCTGCTCTTCTCTTGAACACCTTTTCTACTAAAATGCCTGACATACTACTAATACCAAAAATAAAGGTGCATCAGTGTCTATTTTAATATTAGTATACATAATCTGTAAGAGGGTAGGATAGAGTAGGGTAGAATATAAAATCATTTTTTTGTCTTTAAGTTGAACACCATGAAAGTCTGGATTAATGGCAAAATAACAGGCTCTAGGATCTACACCATTCTACATCTGCTAACACCTATGTGTAATTCTATCAAAAAACCCTGCTAAGCACTGACTGATGACTTACCACAAAGAGGGGTTTGAAAGATGGATGAGATGTAGGATCTGGAATATATGGCAGTGCATAGTAAGGAAGGAACTCTGTTGTTTGGCTTAATGCAGATCCTTTAGTTTCAAGGTAACCCTTGAAAACTCGCATTGACCTTTCCAGTTCTTGCCTGTCCTAAGAAATTCACAAGAGAAAAAGAAAAAAGAAGTAAGAAGAATCACAATAAACAAGTTCACTGAATTGTCATTTGTATTTTAGTTAAACTGACACCACTTCAAATTATTATTTTTGTTACTTTTCGTATTAAGCCTGCAATATAGCAGCTGGGGGTTTTGTTTATTGAGTGTGCAAATAAAAAGCGAAGGTGCAAGGATGTGGACAATGAGGCAGAAACCGGGAATTTTTTTAAAAATTATATTTAATTAAATGGGCCCCTTTTTGTGGCTTGCAGCTCATTTTTGCACTTCTCAAACAAAACCGCCACCTATATTATAGACTCCTATAAATTTGATCTCTGTTTCTGTATTATTCATTTCTTTATACTCAAAACATAATAATGATAATGACTGACACAACAAAAACACAAATCAAACTGTTTTGAAAATTTCCAAACCAAACAAAAATGTGAAGCGCAACACAAAACATGTTATTACTTCTATTGTTACTGCTACTATCAAAGGGGGCCGGCACTTTTTCTTACACTACATAGAACTAGCAACATCATTATAATTGACGGAGTACCTGGTTACCATGCGTAATAGGGTAGATTGCAAAGTAAATGTTGATGTTGAAATGTAATTTCTGACATATCTGATCATTTTCTTGAAAATCATCTGGCACATATTGGTTCCACATTCTGAAGAATTCAGTACATCTTCCACTCTCAAAGGCCCCCACCATTCTCTGCTGCAATGAAAGAGGAAAAGAAAGGACCTTACTTACAATTTGGTATTTACTACAGAACTCAGTACATGTCAGTAACTCAGGCTCTAAGTTTCTGTGTTCCAATAACAGTGTGTACACATATAGCCTTTACAATCAGCTTTCCAGCTTTCATTGGTTTCTCCCTCAAATCTGACCTTCTCTGGACCCACATTAAGCCTACTAGCCTGCGTGCAGACGATAACTAAACTCTGATTAGTACCGTCTGCGAAGCAGCGCAGAGATCCTTGTTCTGAACCCCCAACGGACTCAACGAATTACCGGAAGTGCGTTTTGAATTTCCCTTCAACCTGATTAGCGATCACGACAAACAAAACAAAGGCCTTTTTTAACTGGCCAATCGTGGCGCGTACTCCAATCTGGGTACACAGCTGGAAGTCCAGAATGAGGATTTTGGCGCTGTTACGCAGACGGAGTTAATCAGAGTTTAATTTCGTCTGCGCGCAGGCTATAAAATCTACCGGCTCTGCAAAATAATGTATCCTACTTGTATACAGAGGAAAATGGATAGCATTACACTCAACTGTGGTTTATTGGCAAGTGGTATTCTATTTCAAAACATCACAATTTTATTAATTACCTTGATAATATTTACTCTAGCAGAATTTTTTTTTCTATAGGACTAGCTTAACTGCTACTTTTACAGGAATATAAACCTTGTAACAAATAGCTGTTCCTTGCATGTGTTCTTCTTTTTGGCGGGGGGAGGGAATTGTGGTTTGTTGCATATACGAGAGGGGTAAGTTTCGAATAAAGACACTTTAGGGAGGGCTACATTTCTAAAATGCTTGAGTTGGTTTAAAAATCCCCCCTCCCCTCCTAAGCTATAAATAATGTACAGTCCCTAATCTGTACCTGAATATCATTTTTCTGGGAGTCATTCCTGGGTGAAGTTGTCTCATTTTTCAGTTGCTTTCCTAGTGATCCTAACTCTCCCTCAAACGTTGATGATGTTCTTGAGTAGCCAAGAAAATCCAGATACTAAGAATTTGGAGTAAAAAATATGTATACAGTTTATGCATCAGTCAATTCCACCTGCACCCAACACCCCCCTCCCCCCCTGGGTGACCCCCAGGCATTGGCATTTCTTTTGCCTTGGATGGCAAATCCCCGGGGTGGGGACGAAAAAAGAGGGCAAATGCCCCATCTTCCGTCAACACTGCAACATTTTTCATCGATCGCACAGTCAAATAGTGCCATTTTAAGCCTTTTAATATGCAATTTTTTGTTTCAATTAATGTCTTCCTTTGTAATGGTGCTAGGATTCTAACGATTCTAACAATGACATGAACCAGTTGATGGTTTTAGTACTGATATTAAATTATTGACATTAAAATTACTAGAGTGCTGTAAAGTTATATGTTATGAATAGTTTTATAAATATGAAAGGATGTTCTTCAAATAATATCAACAGAAATTTGATTCAATAACATTGATAGCTCCAATTTCGCTACGTAATTTTGGCTTGATAAGCAATGAAGAAATGCAGGCATAAAATTGAGGACATGCCTTTACAACCCTCTTCAATTTATTCCTGTCCTTGACAGACGAGCCAATCTGCTTTTTTTTCAGTAAAACCCTCTGTGGATAGTTATATTCTGATAGGAAACTGTTTGAGTGTCAAACTTGGGAATGGCCCCGGGCAGTGCAAAATTTGCAAATGTCCCACCCCTGGGACTGACAAGGCGGGCAAATGCCCTGCAGTAGCCTGGAGGGGGGAGGGGCTGGGCACAGGTGGAACTGACTGATGCATTACCATTCCAAAGGTATATCCACACAATTTGATTAATGCAATCAAGCCTAATATCTTAATACCACCGCCCCTTAGCTCAGTTGGGAGTGCGCCGCTCTGCTCAGCAGGATGTCACGGGTTCGAACCTCGGCCAGATCAACACTCAGGGTCTTCAAATAACTGAGAAGAAAGTTCTGCCTTTGTGATGACATCTGGAAATGGTTAGACTTTCTAGTCTTCTCTAATAAGGTCGAAAAACAGCACTTCACTTATCTAGTTCTTGTGGGAGAAAAAAGAACCCAAACCACTGTTCGAAAAGAGTAGAGGATGTAGACCCCGGTGCTGTGGCCAACCTTCACATATCAGTGACATCAGTCACGGGTTGGATAGGCTGTACAGTAAGCTCATAAAAAAATGGACCGACAGCGGCTGCCATTGCCGCCTTTCTATGCTGACGTCCGAGCTTACTGTTCACATGTTTATATAAATTGTAAGAGGAGGGTACGTCTGTTGTCATCCATGACTCCTTCCTTCGTTTCTTCATATTGCTAAGGAAACAAGGTTAGGCATACACAATACCGAATTAGAGTTGAAATTGGTCATGAAGTAATCCATTTCATGCCTACCTCTTTAACAATAGCATTTAATTCCCCTTCTATGGCTACAACTTCATCCATTTTCCATTAGTGCTTACAGGTTATAAAAATATTGTTTGCTCATAATAAAACACACTGTTTACCACTGCAAGTGAATATATTCTGTTCGGCCATGTTTTTTTTCTCGTACCCAATCTACGCTGAATTCAATCTAAACGAGGGAAGACTGGTGACTAAAACGCTGCGCAGTCTCTGGTCGGCCGGTCGGTGTCGTTCTGTCTTTGCACGTGGCGTATAAACTTTACCTTTTTTGAACATTAAATACTCTGGAAGATGGCAAAGAAGGAAAGTCTGAATAAGGTATGTAAATCAACATTCACATTCTCCTTTTTTTGGAAAAGAGGTTGCATCTATGCTCAAATTTTCAGCCGGCCTCGTTGGCAACATTGATGATGCATTCTCTTTGATAACTTTCTTGAAACGATTATCGATTACTTTGTGTTTTCACTGAGTGTGGATTGACTTGAGAGCTCATCCAGTCCAAAAACTGAACTAAGATGATGGACTTCAAATACGTGGGTAGTTTCTTTAAGACTTACGTTCATATCGAAAAGTAAAATTCAGTTACTCGACACATCCACGTGGTTGAAATTGCGCAATAAGCTATCGAGATCTTTGGGCTTTTGCGAAGAGCTAAACAGGAAGTGCATCGCAAATCAGATGTTAAGAACTGTTAAGTGCATTGCATGTACATTTCAGTACAGTTATTTCTGTAAGAGCGAGTAAGTAATATTAAAAAACAAACCATGGCTTGACTAAAGTAAACTAGCAGAGTAAGTACTACATGCATGCCTAACAAGTATGGCTTTCTGCCCTGAAATTGATATATTGCCAATTAGTTATAACCAAAGGTCAAGGAGTGTGGGCGACAACGATCAAAGGTCAAAACGCTTTTGCTCCAGTGCTGTGCTTTGTGTAAGTTTCGCGTGACAGGTGGTTTAAACACGTGTGGTCAGATTACGAGTGATAGAAGGTCCTAATGCACATGATCAAGGTGCATTCTGTGCATTCCATACATTCTTAAGGGAATTCCCATTGAATGCTGGCTACATACATGTGACGCGTGCGTAATAACAACCTGGAGATTAGGATTGTGGGCGACAAGAGGAGCCTGCAATAATGTACCTTAAGGTATTTGCACAGGCAAATTTTCAACATTTTATTTTGCCCTCAAAATCTTTCTACAGTAAGTTCAGATGATGTAATATGCATATCTGGTGTTCTTTTTTGAATATACCTTGGCATTTAAGAGAAGATCTACTCAAAAGTTGACTGATTTACCGGAAGGTAAAGAAAAATCTTCATTTCCGTTACTAAGGAAAAGGACGGCAGGAGCACAATTTGACTCCTCTTTCCAGCATCAAGTTCTATTGATGCGCTGAACAAAATCTATTCACTGCTTGGATTCATTGACAAACTACAGCCGCTGTGTGTCCAACTTGATTTTTCTTGCTTCTGTTAAAGCTGTGATGACTAATGTTACTTGCTTCTTGTCAAAATTTGTTATGTTCTTGAAATATACTCCGTTTTCCAGGGCTTATTATTGTTTTCAATTTACATTACATCGGTGTGTCTTCTCACCTGATATTTTCTGACAATTTTGCCGGGAGAGTAAAACGTTTTCTTGGCCCCTAATCCTCTGGTCTGTTTTTCTGCCAATTTCTTTCACTTTACAGAAGCAATTCTTTCAATTTTGAATAAAACTCTTCTTCAATCTTCATACTTCGGCGCGCTTCACTGCATTAAAGCTGACACCGAGTAACACATCTTCCGGAAATGCGTCACACCTAGCAACTGGTCACGTATCAAAATCCAAGGGGGCTATAGAGAGGTCATTTGGCATTTTCTTAGGCTTCCACGAGCATTTTACACAGCGGTGATTCAAAATGGCGGGCAAGAAGGTCTGTGATGGTAGTATCGAGGAAAAACAGTTGATTTTGAGAAGAAAATAAGCTTTTACACACTGGAAAAGCGTTAATTACCGCGTGACCGATTTACCTTGACTTACGGGAACCAGTTTTTTGGAGGAATGGATCATTATTACTTCGTGAAATTTGGCAAATACACAAACAGCATGTTAATGAACAGATCTGTGTTTGACTAAAGGTTAGAATTGCCGTACAGCTGAGTTATTGATGTCAAAATATGGGTCAAATTACAAAATAGCAAATTGTGCCCTAGAGGCTGGATTAATTGGAGCTGTGTCGTGGTCAAACACAGAATTATTCTATCTTACGTCCTTATTTGTGTTACATTTCTTTTTTAACAATAACTCTAAGGATTCTTCTGAAATTTTGATTTTTCTCTTTCCGTGCCCCCCTAGGGGGTAATTAAATTAACACCTTTTGGGTGACATAACATAGTTTATTTTGATATATTCTAGTTCCTCAAGAACTGAGGAATACTGTCAATGTAGTGACATATAGATATTATCCATAAAACAACCACTAAAAATGATGCAAAAATGTGCAAAATTTGCCTGTGCAGATACCTTAATCCTGTTAATCATGACAGGGTAAAAGCAATGACATGCGGTCTTTCAGTTGGCAAACAGCTCGTAAATGTGCTTAGCAGGGCTTGAAGTAACTGACCAATAGGCACTGGACAGTTGTTGGTCAGTCAAACAAAAATTGACATAAAGTAATTTTTTACCTTCACGGACAGGGAATTGGGTTGGAGCCTTGAGCGCAAGGTATCACTGTTCAATGGGTTGAAATAGTTACCGTTTTGCTGTGTGTCATGCATGAGTCTGTAAATGTGCCCATGCCTTATACTACTGTTTGTGTCTTCGGTATTGTTCCTTCTCTGGTGTTGAAATGAGTTAAGTGGAGTTCAGGGTTAAGTTTGTGTTTGTGTGAGCATACATTGATGTACATTGTAGCAAAGTTTTGCAGTTGTCTTTTCTTTGATTTGTAGCAGTCAGAAAAGAGTAGTTCATCTACAGCTGTTGCTTTAAAGGCAAAAACTGTAGTGACAAATGGGTTAATAAGTCAACTCCAATTGTGTATGACTAGCTCTTTAATGACCGTGCCTCATATGCCTTTACTTGTTTTATTTATAGGTTAAGAAAACCTCTGTGCAAGAAAAGAAAGTGAGTAAAGAGAAGAAGGGTGTGGTTAATGGAACAAAAGAAGTTCATGACCAATATGTCAAGAAAAGTAAAGACCAAAAAAAGGTTAAAAAGCTGCCACCAATGACAAAATCTTCAGATTCTGAGGTGAGTTAAATTCTCAGACTCGATTAAGCAAACTGCTTTTATGTCATGATAGCGAGGCAAAATCTCTAGTCTAAATAAATGCAGCTACTAATAACTATTATTTTGCTGTAGGATTCAAGTTCAGATGAAGATGAGCAAACAAGGTATATTTTAAAATGTTGTTCTAGCTGAATGTGCAGATAAATTTAATTAAATGTCTAACCAACGAACATTAGGCTCACTGTTCATGAGCGAAAGATCCATTTAAAAAACAAATTATTATTTTATCAGATTACAACTTTTTTGTCATACATACATACATATTACATACCTGCACTTATTAAACTAATTATCATTTAAGGGATAACAAATTAACATGCATAATTAATTCAGAATAATAATTAATTAATGATCAATTAAATTGTTATATTTTGTCCCATTCAGAGATCAAGCTGTCAAGAAAGTGACCAAAAAGGCTAAGGTAACAACTACTCCTGCTCCTAAACCTGCAAAGTCATCATCATCTGACTCAGACTCTGATGATGAGAGTGAACATGGAAAAAAAGTACCACAGAGTTCTAAACCAGGCAAAACAGATGTTATGAAACTAAAAGGGATTAAACAAAAACAAGAGCAATCATCAAGTGATGATTCTTCTTCAAGTGATGAAGAAAAAGCCAAGGAAAAAGTAGCTATTCCAAAGAAAACTGAGGCAAAGAAGGCAGCAAATCCAAGTTCATCTTCATCTGATTCAAGTTCAGAGTCGTCTGAAGATGCAAACAAAAAGACAAATGGCAAAGCCTCTCAGCCCATCACTAAGGTGTCAGAAGAAAAGAAGGAAAAAAAGTCTGGTAAACATTCCTCTGATTCAAGTTCAAAATCTTCCAGTAAAATTGTAAAGCAGAAAACTAAGCCCTCAAAGGCTGACACAGAGAAGAAAAAGACAAAGGATATAAAACTCACAGCAGCCTCGTCAGATTCAAGTTCAGATTCTTCTGATGAAGAAGAAGCAGATCCAAAAACCAAACCCCAGTCTAAAAACACATTGGGAAAGAGGAATGGAAAATCCAACAAAGAATCCTCTGATTCAGACTCAGATTCATCTGATGATGAAGATAAACAACCAAGCACCCAACCCCTGCAGGTCATCACAAAGAAGGCAGAGACAAAAAAGGATGGAAAATTATCCAAGAAAGAATCATCTGACTCAAGTTCAGATTCTTCTGATGATGAGGATAAAAAACCAAGCACCAAACGCTCACAGCCTGTCACAAAGACAGTAGAGGCAAAGAAAGATGGAAAAACTGGTAAAAGGTCCTCTGATTCAAGCTCAGATTCATCTGATGATGAAGATAACAAAACAGATGCAAAACACTTGCAGCTTCCCACAAAGAGGGCAGAAACAAAAAATGGTGGAAAATTATCCAAGAAAGAATCTTCTGACTCAAGCTCAGATTCTTCTGATGACGAAGATAAAAAACCAAGCACCAAACGCTCACAGGTCATCACAAAGAAAGCAGAGACAAAAAAGGATGGAAAAATATCCAAGAAAGAATCTTCTGACTCAAGCTCAGATTCTTCTGATAATGAGGATAAAAAACCAAGCTCCAAACCCTCACAGGTCATCACAAAGAAAGCAGAGACAAAAAAGGATGGAAAAATATCCAAGAAAGAATCTTCTGACTCAAGCTCAGATTCTTCTGATGACGAGGATAAAAAACCAAGCTCCAAACCCTCACAGGTCATCACAAAGGAAGCAGCAGTAAAAAAGGATGGAAAACCCAAGAAAGATTCCTCTGAGTCAAGCTCAGATTCATCAGATGAGGAGGATAATAAAGTAACCAAGCAAAAAGCAACTCAGTCTGATTCTGAATCATCAGATTCCAGCTCTGATGGGGATCAGCTAGCATCAGCTACAACAAAGATCAGTGGAGCATCAAAGAAAGAGGAATCAAGTTCAGATGAGTCCGATGAAGAAATGAAGAAAAACACAAAAAGAAAAAGAAGTTCATCAGAAAATTCTAGCTCAGATGAGGAGGAAGTAGCAGAGAAAGCATCCAAGAAGGCTAAAAAGGTATGTTAAGGACCTACCAGTACTAACATGCTGTGTGTTATTACATGGCTTCAATAGTATGCGCACTCAGCTCTGATTGGCTGCTAAGCGGGCATTATTTTCTTGTAATGACCAGGCATTACCAGCTAGGTGTCCAAGGCATGTACAATCTGTGTTTAACTTGACAGTGGACAAAGTGGACATCCTTACGGAGATCCATGTTATGGTATCTGCTTACCAGTGTGACTTGACTGTATTACGGGCTCAGGTGTTAAAATCATTGGGGTGACGTGTTTTTTAATTGTTATCCGCTCACCTATTATTGATTTTAATTGATCACAGGCTCAGGTCCATAATGAAAAGGGCATTTAATAACTTATTAACCTCGTCCGTTCACTCATAACATGGAAATCTCAGACCTCAGCCTTGCCTCAGTCTTAGATTTCCCTCTAATGACTGCACTTTTGGTTTATAAGTGGTATTTAATCCTTAAGTTTCTGTACTTTCTTAATATGAGCTGAGCTGATTGATGGGAGCAGAATGTTCATTTATAAATGTTACACTTATATAAGTACATGTACGTCCTGTAAAAATAAATATTTGGTTAATCACGAAAACTACCTCTTTTAAGGAATTTTCCAATGATGTTGAGGGAGTTGCTGAAAAGAAAAAGAAGAGAAAAGTAAATGAAGGCGACAACGAGGGTTCTGGAGGCAAGAAACTGAAGCATGATGAGACGGGGTCTGAAAAACAAAGTAAGTTGTCTTTATTCTTAAACATTATACCACCATACATTTCTTTTATCTTATTACAAGTGAACTGTGAGAAACTGTATTTCACTATTAGTTTTTAAAAGGGCATTATTTAAATTATTAGTTGGAAGCTAAAATATACTTATAATTAAACAGAAACACACAAAAGTAAAGAAAGATACCTGTGAAGTTCACAACAGTGGTGGAATTAGCGGATGGTATGGGTTGGTGGGCCCCACCTTATTTTTAGGCCAAACGGAGGCCCTCAGGGCCAAGTAAAAATTTTTTTAGGCTGGGCCCCACTCTTATATCTTCAGGTCTGGCTGAGTATGCCCCTCATGTACTTAATGATCTGAATCCACCACTGCAAGGGTCCTATATAAAATAATATTGTTATGTATCGGTAATAGCATAATTTGTATTGATATGTGACATAAATACCACGAGTGATATTTCAAAATTGTTATACGTAATTTCATGAGCCATTAGGCGAGTGAAATTTGAGACAGTTTTGAAATATCACGAGTGGTATTTATGCCAAATATCACATACAAATCCTGCTATTATTTGTTAATTCTACTACCTGCAAAAGGTTTGTAATTTTCACATGTAGGTATTTCAAATTAAGCAGAAATACCACTGCTCTAAGCCAATCAAATTGCAGAAATTTCTCATGTATTAGTATAATACTAATTGCATGAAGTACTCTTGTATTGTTATTTCAGTTTCCATATTTGTTGGAAATCTGTCTTTTGACACAAATGAAGAAACACTGCAGGGATTTTTTGAAGATAATGCTTTGTCCCCCACCTCTACTAGAATTGCTTATGCTAATGGATCATCAAGAGGGTAAGTTATTAGTTTATTGATTTTGTCACACAACATGCTTAGATCATTATGCCAAATAATTTTTATCACTTAGCAAATACACGTAGCTTGAGACTCAAAAATGCGTTTGTGCAATGTATACATGTGTTACGGGTCAAAATTAAATTCAGGTTAAAATTTTTTAACCAAGGTTGATTCTCAATTTCCTTTTTCTGCTAGCCCTAATCCATGAATGACTAGGGCAAGAAGACAAAGAAAATTAAAAATCTAACTAGATTATAAAAATTTTAACCTAATTTTAATTTTGGTGTGTAACATATGCACTAAAAATCAGTCAACCACGTAGGTCATGAGAGTCCTTGTATTATTAAGCAGTATGAAGCTCACCTTTTGTTTATACCAGTAAAGTGAACAAAAGGTATTTAATTTAAAGGTAAAATCTGCATTTTTATGATCAGTAATAATCATTTTCTCTATCATATAACCTACTGAGTTTGGAAAATAATGTAATGTATTCTTATTAGCTACCTCAAGGTTTCTTTCAAACTTGTCATGCAAGTTTCTGATTTTTTAGCTATCTCTAAGTCATAACCTGCTGAGAGATTAGACAATCAGACTTCACCCCTGGACTCTTACTCAAATCTATGTAACCTTACTGTGATCGGTTTTTTCTGTTCATTCTGTTCCCTATTTGCTTCCCCGTATGATTGCTTCAATAAAAAATTCTTGTATCATTGTTTTGTGTTTGTGTATTTTTTTAATCCCGGAAATCCTACACTCAAGAATTAAGTTTGCTAACCTTCCCACTTCTTAAAATCACCATTTATTTATTAACTGACAAAGCTAGCTATTCAAAACTGTAAGTTGGATTACACCATTTTCATGCAGTAATATGGGGTCCACACTTTGCTTTGCACATAAAATGGAAAATGAAACTGCAGAATTCATAAGTTTAATGTTATGTTTTTCTTGCACTCCAGGTTTGGGTATGTAGATTTTGGCAGCCCTGAGGAAGGACAGAAAGCACTAGAGCTTAGTGGATCAGAGATTGATGGTAGAGCAGTGAGAATAGATAAGGCAGAATCAAGAGCTTCACCAAGGGGAGGTGGGCGTGGGGGCCGGGGCGGTGGTTTACGTGGACGCGGAAAAAGTACCCCATCAAACACACTGATCTGCATTGGCCTGTCATATGACACAGATAATGATTCATTGAGCAGGGCTTTTCCAGACTGTGTTAGTGCACGAGTTATAACGGACAGGGAGACTGGCAACCCAAGGGGGTAAGTAACATTAGAGCATATTAAGCCCACTTGAGCCTCTGCTTTTTAGACCGAGCTTTACTCAAGTTGTTGTTTGCCCTGGATTTCCTCAAATCCCCTCATTAAACAAATCATTAACGGTCCGAGCGGCTGTTAGGAACTTAAAACACCCTACCAGATTTGTGTGGAAATAATATTATCTCCATGAGAATTCCCGTCTTTTGTATTTTGTTTTGTTTATTTTGATTTCCGAAAACATGAGATGGAGTTAGTAGTAAGATGATGTCACTCTATTAACTTTGCTGGATACCCACTCCCCTCTTCTAGTGACGTTCCTGTCGGTTCCCTCGTATACAGTAATTAGAATTACATGATTCCAACCCGAAAGCAAGCTGCTCCAGTACCAGAAGTATAGAACCTCTGAAATCGCCATTCTCTGGTCACTTAACAAAGCCTTATTTTATCCATTTCTTTCAGTTTTGGATATGTCGAGTTTGACAGTGTTGATATTGCCCAGGATGCGATGACCTCTATGGAAGGGAAACAAGTTGATGGTCGTTCCCTGCGACTTGACTTCGCAGCGCCAAGAGGGTCTACTCCAGGAAGTGGAAGTGGAGGTTTTAGAGGTGGTGGTAGAGGTGGCGGTAGAGGCGGTAGAGGTGGAAGAGGCGGTGGCAGAGGTGGAGGAAGAGGTAGGTTTTTTACGTTATATAAGTATATAATAACCTGCCGTGATTTACCAGAGGGCAACGAAGGAACTCGTTTCCTAACCCAATTTGGTTGTCATTTACAAGGAAAAAACTGATCTTTTCTTGTTGTTAAAGTCATCTAGCCGAAATGTCCGACACAACACCCCGCCGTCTTCAAGAAAGTTTAACGAACTAATTTTGTGTTTATTTTCTGTAGGCTTTGGCAGAGGAGGAACCCCTGTAAACGCTGCCAGGAAAGGCAACATACAAGAGTACAAAGGAACTAAAATTTCGTTTGATGAATAAAGGCAATAATTTTTATCCCTCTGTAGAATTACTAGCATGTCCGAGTATTGGCTTTTTTATACTTCAGTTTGTATATAATGTTGATACACAATTATATAACAAGCAAAAAATAGGCTGTGTAGGAATGGAAATAGCAGGGGATAGAAGGCAAAAGACTGCGTCTTTGCAGGAATACTTTTTGTTCTAAACAGTGGTATAAATAATGCGTTTGTATCGTCGCTTAATGCGTTGATGTAAGTCTCATTTCATTTTTTTCCGTCCAAATTTCAATTCGATTGCACTGAGAGTTCGAGAATAAGGACTAATACGGGTTTTTTTGTGCCTCTTTTAATTACCTGTTGCACTTATCTTTAACGTTTATTTAAGTGTTAGTTAGAAGCAGAAAACCGGGTGATAAAATTATCTCGAAATTCCAAAGTCGTATTTGTATTTGATCTTATTAGAATTATGTTTACGGCAAATGGTGGACTCAAGACGACAATTCCTCAAATTCGGAAATAAACAGATGAAAACTAAGTAATTTGTTGTAGAAGATGAAGCTAACATTTTGTGAAGATATAAGGTACAGGGAAAACTTGGTCACGTGGTATAACTAAAGGTTTACCGTTTGTCGTAAACGTGAGTATAACTCTATCTTATGATTTGTCCCTTGAAACACAGTAAAATTCAAGCTGATCGTCAGCATGTTTGTAAACGTGCCCAATCATATTTATTATATTACATTGATTTAAACCTTTGAATTGTAACTTTGTGTTTTTTACATAATTTTATACACGCCCAGTCTTCAAACAGAGTCAAAATAGTAATTTATTATTTCCATGTTTGCAATGGCATTTTTAAAATTTGTAATGTTTACAATCATGCAAAATCTTTATTTACCACCCGTGTGGTTGCTTACTTAATTGTCAATGTATATGCATTAAATTACCAATCATATTTATTGCTTGGTGTGGTTACGTACAGTCTCGTTTCTCGCCACTGGGAGGTTTTTTTTTCCCAATCATTTGTAGGTCCAATTTAAGGATATACCAACTTTGAAGAAATTCGGAATTTTGCCCGAAGTCCCAGGTTAACCCCTTTGAAAAAAAAACCAAGAAGGCGGCTGATTAAATTTGACATCTTCATATATCGTCAGAATCAGTTTAATTTATTTCACTCTAAAACATCAACAAACATGATTTCTAGGTCCAATTTGACTATATACAAACTTTGAAGAAATTTGAAATTTTGTCCCAAAACCATAGGGTAACCCCATTGGAAAAAATCCAAGATGGCGACTGATCAAATTTGACATCTTCATATATCGTCACAATCACTTTTATTTCACTCTAAAACATCCACATATCTTTTCTAGGTCCAATTTGAGTATATACAAACTTTAAAAAAACTTGAAATTTTGACCCAAAATCATAGGCTAAACCCTTTGAAAAAAATCCAAGATGGCGGCTGACCAAATTTGATACCTTCATATATCGTTAGAATGACTTCAGTCTCACTCTAAAACATCAACAAACTTGATTTCTAGGTCGAGTTTTGACTTGCAACAAACTTTAAAGAAATTTGAAATTTTCACCCAAAATCATAACCTATCTCCTTTGGAGAAAATCCAAGATGGCGGCCGACCATATTTGACATCGTGATATATCGTTAGAATGACTTTAATTTCACTCGAAAACATCAACGAACATGATTTCTAGGTCCAATTCGACTATGAAATTTTTAAAGAAATTTGAAATTGTGACCCAAAATAATAGGCTTACTCCTTTGGAAAAAATCCAAGATGGCGACTGATCATATTTGACATCTTCATATATCGTCAAAATCACTTTAATTTCACTCTAAATCATCCAGAAACATCATTTCTAGGTCCAATTTGAACATACACCAACTTTGAAGAAATTTGAAATTTTGCCCAAAATCATTTGCTAACCCCTTTGGAAAAAATCCTACATGGCGGCAGCGCAAACTTGATCTCTTCATATCTTGTCAGAATGACTTTGATTACTCTCTAAAACACCAACAAACATCATTTTCAGGTCACATTTAACCATATACAAAGTTTAAAGAAATTTGAAATTTTTACCCAAAATCACAACCTCGTCCCCACGGCTTTTCCCTCAAAAAATGGGTGGGGCGGGAAAAGGCCCTGGCATCGGCAGGTCACGTGTACAGCCTAAATATTCCTGAGAAGCTAATTTATATGCAACCCGCTGGTTTTGCGCTGACAGATGGGAGCAATGGAAAATAATAACATCGCGAACTATGTCAATATTTTTGCGTGTGTGCGATTCAAAAGCTTAAGATTCATTTAATTGCGCATTATTCAAATGCTAGAAGTTTATGAAAGGGCAGACCGGCTCTACGTTGTCACGTACAAAATATGTCAAATGCTTCAGCGTTGAGAAGGGCTGTTACGTCTCACTGTTATCGACGAGTATTTCGACTAAACTTCATCGTGACTGTGGAATTACTGAACGATCAAGCGGGAAGTGATTTTATCCATTGTCAAACAAAAATGCCGGCCTTTGCCTTCAGGGTCTGCAGTGAATTTAAACAGATTGAACTTAATTGAAATAGAACTGTTCATCAAAATGCTTTATGAAGTCTGGTCTTCTCTACAACCCGACCATGAAACAAACAAATCTCCGCGCCGGATGCAAGTCAGCCTTCCAGCCAGGAACGATGACAGGTCGCCGATCTGAAACATTTGAAGAACTCTTACATCTTTTCTCTTCCGAGGATAAGTACAAAGGATTTTCCTTATATCAAAGGGAAGATTGACTGATCGATTGGAATCAACTACAGCTCTGTCAATTTTAAATAGACCCAAGTTTTTTTGTTGCCAGTCGTTTGATCGCAGAGGTCAATGAATGTTGTAAAAATACAGGTCATACAGGATAAGTCTAAACCAACGCGTGTCGCTATGATATGGCTGAGAGTTAAGGTGAAAAGAACTAGGCTGTGTACGGCGGCCCACTTCGCAAGAAATGAAATAAAATATCAGAAGAGTCGAGAAAGCAGACTTTTCCAGTACAACCTTTACGTACGATAGCTTGTCATTTAAACCGCTCTATAAACAGAAGTTTTACAAATGTTACTCGCTGTCCTTTTCACAGAAATAGGAGGAAAGCAAAAAATTACCATGGCCAGTATCTGTGACAAAAAGGAAACCTTGTAAAACTTTTCGTTAATCGTCAAGAGATATAAAAGGTCGCCCAAGATCGCGCGCTGTGAGGTTACGCATAATTTTAGCCTTCACATGGCGCTAATTTATTACACCCAGGATTTTTAATAGGGTGTACGAGAAGACACGTGACCAGCCGATACCAGGGCCTTTTCCCGCCCCACCCATTTTTTGAGGGAAAAGCCCTGGGGACGAGGTTGATAGCCAACAACATCTTGGAAATGAGGCCAATGTAACTTTGCGCAAAAAAATCAACCTCGTTCCCAGGCTACTTTCTCACTTTCACACGATGTTATATTTTTGATGGTGTCACCTTTATTAGGAAGATTTTTAGTGTCTTTTAATTTACAATCTGCAATCTGTGGTCTGCAGTCTGCGGTCCGCAGTCTGCAGTCTGCAGTCTGCAGTCTGCAGTCTGCAAATGTCATACACCGGTCAGCCAGCGTCTTAAATTCGGGAGCGCATTCCTTTCGTTTTCTTGGGAGTCAAAAATTGCCTTGTTATCATAAACAAATGATATCTCTACTTGACCCATATGTTTACATTAGCCGGGCGGGTCCTGAAGGTCAGTATAAAAGTTCTTTACAGCTGACAAAATAGCATGAAATTGAAACTTTCCACCTAATGTATGTGAAGCATCCGTGTATCACTCTGGGATTTGAGATTGCCTAAATGAAAGGTATTTTTCATATTTAGCCCTTAAAAAAAGCCAAATCCATCACTACTTTACGTCATAGACACCATAAACTTTATGGTACTTGTTAATTTCCAAATAGCCTGTTCCAGGCGTTCAGATAGTGGGGAGCAGCGCGAAGTAAAGGAGCGCGATTTTGATCTGCCCGGGAATCGAACAGGAACTTACATCCGGGGGAATACTTTCTTATATAAGCCACATAGACACTTGCCGTAAAATTCCGAAAATAAGCCCCAGGGCTTATATTTATCAAAGACCCTTTTTGAGGGACTTATTTTTGGAGGGGCCTATATTCGGAGGGAAATTTGTGTTTCAAAATCGATTGGGCTAGCCTTATAGCTGTAAGGAAATTTACCGTTTTTGATTTATTTTACTTTGTATTTGAGGGCAATTTCCAGGTACAAGCCCCCCGGGGAGCTTATATTTGGAGGGGCGATTTAACGGGGGGGGGGGGGTTTGCGTTATGAGTTTGGGGGACTTATATTTGGAGGGGTTTATACATGGAGGGGCTTATTTTCGGAATTTTACGGTAGTTTTGTGTCGCCCCAAAGGGCAGGGTTTTGAGCCGTTTTGGTTTGGAAACGGGTACAGACTTTGTCCATTTTGGTCAGGAATCGGGTATGGTTGTCGAACGAACTACAGGAGTGTATGAAAGTATTTACCGTTTCAATTCCAAATGAGTAAGAAATAAAGAGAAATTTTGCGAATTGAAGTAGATTTTAAGAAATCTTTTTGTTGCTGTTCTAATGTAAGTAATGATGACATAATTTCTTTTTAGAAGCCAGGTCTGAAAACGGGTGTCAAAAATGACATTTTTTGGTCCCAAATAGGGTTAGGATTTTGAGAAGCGGGCGACACACCCCTACCATGCCTTGCCCTAAACAAAAAATGAGCCGGATCGATTTTTTGACCGTGGCCACGAATTTTCGATATTTCTTTGATATTTCGGCGACATTCACTCTTTATTTCTAAATTTTGTAGAGTGCTAGCCTGCGAGAGCATCCTTTTTTTCGGCTTTAATTTCACCCGCCTAGAGGAAGAGAAGCGACGACGGGAAATACGTCTCCGGTTCGCAGGCTAAAAGAAGTAAACAAGTGCTTATTTGAGCAGGTGAATGCAAAC